TGAGAGGGGTCTACACTGGTGTGGGAGCTGGTCAGCCGAGCTGGGCTCTGGCCTCAACCTCCACGTGAATCTCAGGATGCAAATGGAGAGCTGGGGGCTCTCTGCAGGCACAGGTGCCTGAATGCATGAGAGAGTGGTAACTTTAACTCAAGTGCCTTCCATGTTCACGGATTTTTTGCTTTGACCATTGTACTTGTGCAGAGAGAGGAAAAAGCAAGCTTGAAATTTACTGTTAAGCCTCTCTGTTTCATGCCTCTAGTTGGCTTATTCTGAGAATGAAAGAATGTATATCAAGCCAAGGCCAAAAACACCTTCGGCAAGAAAGGGAGATGGAACATTTCAAATAATAGGTATTTCTGCAGTGGAATGGAAGTTTATGATGGAAGGCTCAACATTGCCTTAACAGTATTTCTGATATCAGAGAAAGATACAGAACTGAGACAGGCCAGACAGCACCAATTAAGCTTCATTAGGTTCAAACAGTTCCAAATACTGTTTGCAATTTCCACCTTTACCCCCAAGGCTGTCCTATATACTTCTGCAATTCGAGAAATACGTGGAAATGTGGAATGAAAATAAGGGTATGGGAAACTCGATTTTCAATTATTTCCATATCGTTTCAGGTTTCCTACTCTGATATTTTTGACCTAGCATTTAACTTTTGTCTTGCTGTGCTCTTCATGTAGGTCTTTATTAGTGATGACAGATTTGGTCACTATTAGAAAGAGAAGAACATAACAAGTTAACTGTCCCATAATTTATTTTAAAAAATAAAATATATAAGGCTAAAATGCCTTTAAAGATCAAGTGACAAGGCCAGAAAAACACATGTGAAAATGAATTATTGAGATTCAAAGTAACAGATACACAGCTTCTCCCAACCTCCTTTGCATCTGAAGTTAATTTGAGCAGGACATCTCCTGTGCTTACCGTGTCTAACATCTCCCGTGTATGTGCAGCTGACACACAAAACCGAGCTCTGGATTCTGTGATAGGAGTAGCTGGAAACCCAACCACAACCACCCCGATATTTTTTTCTAACATGCGTCTTGCAAAAGCCCTAAGGAGAGAAGAAAAAAAAAACAAACCCAAAGTAAATTATCTGCAATAAACTGACCACAGAGAGAAAATATTCAAGTATAATAAAACAATGGGTAAAATCCTGCCTTCAATTGAAGTGGATGGTAGTATTCCCATTGATTTCAGTCAGAGACAGAATTTTACTAGCAGGATTGAGATTCTTTGCTGCTTAACAGCTCATGAAGCCAAGTGGGTGTCAAATACTCAAAGTGTGATGGCAGAGAGAGCACTGTAGAATAGACAAGATCCATTTATGTCAACGAAAGGCTTTGAGTGCAAATCAAAATGTGTGGGCATTCACAGTCCCTAACCATGGGAAGAAGTTGGGCTTCTGGAAGGTATGAGTCTGGGTTCCTGTGCATCATCAGGAATCAAACAATCTGTGTGATGGTTTCTTTGCTCTCGCAATTACTCTGACAGTTTAGGAACCTTTTGTGTGGTGTGTAGTAGACCTAGAGCACACAGCCACCCTGAGCTACTTGCAAATACTCCCTACAGCTCAACCCTTACATTATGCTACTACTGACTTCTGGTCTGCATGTCCAAGTCAGTGCACAAGTGCTGCTTGATAGGTATTGAATGGTAAAACATGCAAAGACTGTTCAAAGATCAGATGGGGAAAAAGAACATCCATCCAGAACAATTCATACGTCATAGAATCATAGAATCATAGACTGGTTTGGATTGGAAGGGACCTTAAAGATCATCTAGTTCCAATCCCCCTGCTGTCAGCAGGGACACCTTCCACTAGATCAGGTTGCTCAAAGCCTCATCCAGCCTGGTCTTAAACACTTCCAGTGTCAAAAAGCAATGTCTCTCTTTTAATGATTATGAATTAAAAAAAAAAATCCAAATTCAAAATGCTATCAAAAGTATTATTCTAGAGCAAGTTAAAAAAGAGTAAGAGAAATTTTAAAAATTCTAAATATTGGAACAGCTCAAAATTAAGTCCAGGGACAAATTTAAAATTAAATGATGAATTCACCTGATTGTATGTTTCTCTTATGAAACATCTATCACACATAACTACATTTTTTACAGTGTATACCAAATAACTTATGAACTTGAATAGTGTTTGTTTTGTGAATTTTTTTTTAAGTACTTACCCTATCTTACCAGGCATATAAAGGAGTAAGGGGACAACAGGAGAATCATCATTGCCATAAATGATGAAGCCCATTTCATGCAGTTTTCGTCTGAAGTATCTTGTGTTTTTCCCCAGCTGGCGCACTCTCTGGAGCCCTGAAATGAGTCAGTCAGGAGAACAGTCAATGCAAAGATCCTAACTGGAGTCTAGTAACAGGCAAGAAACAGGGCTGCAGGTACTAGTTCAAAAAAAATTGTCTGAAATGTATATGCTGCTATTTGATTCAGAATAAAAACATGGAATGAGCTAAATGCAACTACGTTGCTTATGATGGCATTGTAGGACAGATGCCCGATATTCCTGCAGTTGTGAGGTGCCTTCCCACTGGAAGAAACAGTATGTCCTCTGGTGACAGACAGGTGAACAATTCCCTTTGCTGTATTGTGCTGAATAAAGCCTATTGAATGACACACATCGATAGAGAAGCAGTTACATGACTCTGTGGATACAGGACATGTAATTAGAGTATGTTCTTTCTCAACATAATTCACTATAAGGGAAACAACCAATGTCTACAGATGTTGATACAGATTTCAGTATATTCATAACTTTTCTAATTAACAATATTCCACAGGGTCCTCTTGTATCTTAGTTAGTTCTGTGCTTGCTTGTTTACCTTTTTTTTTTTTTAAATTTTTTTTTTTTTTAATTCTGTTACTATAATAAAGCTTAAAGTATTAAATACTTCATTTTGGGTCAGCTCAAACTGATGGTTTTGTTTAAATTTTTTAGAGAGAGGAAAAGCGTGCGATAACCTTTGTTACTACACAAGGTCTGATCTTCTGCAGTTTGTTACCAACATTCAGCATAACTCCACTTATTCTAATGTGCATCTACATATGTCATCTCTTGCTAAGTTCTGCTCAGTTTCTCCGTCCTCTTATCTTGCTATTATTACTTCAACATCATCATCTGACAACAGACGTTAGTCATTCAAGACTTTCAGACACAAATTTTCTTCTCTGCATTGTCCCTGGCCTCATTCAGTCATGAATCCACTGATGTGTCCCCCAGCAAAACTGACAGGAGAGTTGAAAACAATTATTTTTAATAAAGGAAAAAGACGAAAAATCAGCAGAGGAAAAATGTGCTTGAAAAGTCATCTCAGCCTCTTCTTTTGCAGTGTCACTAAGGAGGACGTTTCTGACAAGTGCAGTTGTTTCCCCACCCATTGCATACAAAAGGGGAGAGCCACACTCAACATTACTGTAGGTAGGAGGTACAGTATGTTCTTTTCCTACTCCACCTGCATTATATTTCATCAGTGAGATGATATATGTGCTGCTTTTCCAATGCTGTAAGGTGCTGACAGGGATGGTGCCACCTACCCTGTACCCACAGGCTGCTCTTTCCCACCACCTCTCCAGTACCAGTCCTAGGCTCACACAGCCACTCGATGAATCAAGGCAGATCTGTCATCTGCCTGACCTTGCCAGAAAGAAAACTGCCAAACCAATGTCAAACAGATTGATTCTCTAAACCTAATTGCTGTGCAGCTGCTTGTGCCTGCCCAGCAGAGGTGGTTGGAACATGTCGTAAGACTGGGATTTAGCAGGACACATCTCAGCTACACTCTTAACTTTCATTTTCCTGCTGTTCACCAGCCCATACTTTCAGTATCACTTACATTATGTCACCAGACATAAGCACTGAAGCCTCCAGTACAATTAATTTCCTCTTTTCCCCTTTGCTTTTAAGGTATCTTTGCACAGATGCATTAAGTTTTCACTCTCCATTTAATTTTTCATCTTTACTTTTCATTTGCTTCATTCTTCATTTACTACTTTCTGGTGTCACTCTTCTCTGACTGGGTGCCTGTTTCCTAATTTTCCATCTTTCTTCTTGTAACCTCAGTGGCCAGTTAGGCATTTGTAGCTGCTACATACCTGTGTTGGGTTTGTGTGTGTGTGTGGGGGAAGTCAGGGTTTTTTTTGTAATGGGGGAAGGGCAACCTTATGAGAGTGGAAAGCTCAGACCCCCCAGCCCAGGCTGGGCCAATGAGCACTAGAGAAACACCTCTGCAGATCCACGGTTGTGAGGGGAAGGACTGGCCTGAAAAGAAGGAGGTGCGGTACCTGGAGGAGAAACGGTTGACCAAACAAAAGGTGACCATCAGCCTAAACAAAGACAGAAAGAGAGCTTCATTGGGAGAAGGAAGGACAAAGGCCCACACCCAGTTTAACTGTATGGAGTAGGAGAAGACAAAGGAAGTTCTCTTCAGCCCATGGAGTTTCAATGGTGGAGCAGAGACCCACGTGTAGGCCATGGAGAGCTCCACACTGGAGCAGAGAAGCTGAGCCTGAGGGCAAGTGTGACTGGAATTGGGACTGGAATTGTGGACCCTCAGAGTGTGTGTGGGGGGGTGAATCTGCAGCCTGGATGTCCCCATGCTGGAGCTGGGATCTGAGCCCAAAGAGGTCCGTGACTCCATGGGAAGCTCAAGTTGGAACATCTTGTTCCTGGACTTCCATGCTGGGAAGAGCAGCAGAGGTGAACTGACTGAACCCCCATTCCCTGCCCCCTGTGCTGCTGGGGGGGAAGGTAGAGAAATGGAGAGCAAGGTGATGTGAGCCCAGGAAGAAGGGAGGGGTGGGGGAAGGTGTTGTAAGATGTGGTTGTTTTGTCTACTCAGATGATTTGCAACAAATTAAATGGATTTTTCTTCCCCAAGTTGAGTCTGTTTTGCCCGTGACCATAACTGGTGAGTGAGCCGTCCCTGTCCTTCATTCCTAATCCCGTGCCCCCTTTGTTGTGACTCCCATCCCATCTCACCGGGTGTGGGGAGTGAATGCAGGACCACATGGTCCTACTGTGGGTTAAACCACCACAATACCACCTTCAGCAGATTTGTCCTGAGACCACATTCTGTCCCACCACCTACTGTGGCTTTTCTTCCTATTCCCTCTTGGCTAAGGTGGGGATCACCACACCTCCATAAACCTCTTTTCCATTAATCATTTCTGAGCGCGCATAGTTTTGAACAAGATCTACTGCTTCATCTGTTCTGTATCTTCCTGAGTTAAGCTTCTGTCAATGTTCTGGCTGGGAAATTTATAGGGAAACTGGGACTTGCTTCACAGTGATCAGTGTTTTGCTGAACAAATTAAAAGATCTCATAAAACTAGTGCATTTGTAACTTTATGCACAAAACTGCCCACGCAGACAACCTGTTAGTTACAGTTCCAGTCATTCAGTTTAAAGCATTCAGTGGAAGAGATCTGCTGGGTTAGAGAAGGCCACAAATAGTTTAACCATCTCTCTAATGCTGCTAAAACAGAAACAGCTGTGCCAGAGCAGGGAAAACAAATGAAACACAAAAGCATCATACTACAAAGCTTTCCAGTCACTAATAAAAACAATAGTCTGTGGTATTTCCAAAAATATTTTTGGTGTAGTAGATCTCAAAGAACCAGGAGGAAATATTGAGGAGGAGGAGGAGAAATGGGGGCAGGGGACATGGCAAGGAGAGGGAGTTAGAGAAGAACGGCAGAATAATGTGTCTGAAGTCCAAAGAGAGGCTTTTCCCCTTGTTAGAATTTGTAGAAGTGTTATTAGCACCTCCTGAACGCCCAAATTACAAGGAGGAGGGTGGAGGAGTAACCTGAACTGGGGGCTCAAGACCACTGTTGCTTCTTGCTATCTTAGCAGCCCCTGAGCTAGTTTCCAAACTCTCAGTCTACAGCATTTGAAACTACTAGACTTTCAATTAGGGAAAGTTTTCATAAATGCAGATGTTCTTGGCGAGTGCAGTTTAAGACTTGCTGCCTTCTCCTTTTTATTCAGCTGGTTACCACAAAGCTGGAAACAAAGTGTCAGCCATGCAAGATTCCAGGCCATTCGGTATTTTTCAAACCATATGCACATGGCCCAGAATTGATCAGTTTGTCTCTACTTATTTTAGGTACCGGAAATTTTGACTCCAAAGCAAGAAGGGGAATCTAGCAAAGGAAACGTTAGAGCTGAAAGAGGAGTTCCAGACAGCCCCCCAAAAGTCAAACACCGCTTTCTTTTCCCCTTGCTAAATCTATATCCTCAATCAGCTTGTGATGGGACAGATTCCCTTTTGAGATGCCCTATGGAACTCATTTCAACCCAGCCAATGCTGATGCAAAAGAGCCACTTGAATGTTTTAGCAACATCCCAGAACAGTAATTTCATTTGCAGGGCTGCATTAAAGAGCCAAATAAAAGATCAGAGTGCTCACATATATCTGGAAGGAAAAAAAGCATGTTAGGAGATGATTGCTCCACACACTGTATTTGTGGGTGAGTGGCTGGGAGGAACTTATTTCTTTAGCAAGTGTCAACACTTTCCTTTCTCATGTTATGTTTTGTGGTCAAAGACCACATACACACATCATATACACAGAAATCTTATATGCTGTCCTGATAAGAGCAGTAAAAACCTTAAAGTTTGTAATTGTATTTCAACACTCTTTTTCATTCTTTTATGGGACCCTCCAACGTCAGAGAAGGAGGCACATCTGAGCAAAATATTTATTTTGGTCTCATTGCCCCAATTTTCCCCCCACACTGCAGATGAAATCAGCGTAAGAGTGATGAATTCAGTTTAGAGTCAGATCTTACTCCAAATTCACTGTGGTATGTTTAACCAAAGACTCTGCATTTAAAAACTATTTTCTTTGATTCTTGAGGCTGTGATCTTATATCCTTTATTATTTATTGAGTGGAAATCTGCAGAGATGGACCCTTGAGCTAAAATACTACAGCTGCATCTATTTCTGTGTAAGAATTTACTAATTAGAGGATCAGGTCCTCAGTAAATACATTTGTTCAAAAATTCTTAGTTTGCAAAATTCTTGAGGATTTACAGTCTATGCAAAGGGCTTATAGTACAGCATACAGGATATCCAGATAGTTGTATTCCATGAAACATATGAACCACAACACAGCATATGTTCAGAGTAAACAGCCTGGACAGGAAAAACTGACCCTTAGCTAATAAAAACTAAGCCCACTAATGCTCCAGAGTTTTCAACTGTGGTTGATCATGGCCTTATCAGCATAGAATGTATTGGGTTGAATGTATTGACCTTCAAAGGTCATCTACTCCAACCCCCCTGCAGTAAGCAGGG